AGGAGAAGGAGAGAGAGAGATAGAAACATCAATGGTGAGAGAGTCATTGATCGGCTGCACCTGCAACCCGGGGCATGTGCCCTGACTGGGAATCGAACCCTGATTGCCTGGATCCTAGGTTGACGCTCAACCGCTGAGCCACGCCCGGCCGGGCTGATGTTCTTTTTTTAAAAAACCCCTCAAAGATCCAAGATCCAGGAGTCGTTCTTTCAATGTGTTATTTTCTCATAATATGTAATCTGGAATGTAAAATATGATATCATTTACTTTATTCAAAGTCAGCTAAACTCAAGAAATATTTATCCAAGGCTTATTATATCACTAGAGATTGAGTTTAGTACTTGAATCCACATTTATAAATTTTGCATTTCAGGGAGCATCAAGTCAGTTCTATACAAATCATGGCTGTATAATGTGTTTGGGGAGGTGATGGCGTATGGTTCCACCAGTTAATTTCATCATAATGAAAAATGGGAAAACAAGAAATACCCATGACTCAGTTTGGTTTTAAATGATCTAATTATAATTTATTTTACATTCATACATTAAGATGTGACTTTTGGTTTAGAAATCCATTATATTTATTTCTCTTGGTAAGCACAAATAACATACTGAAAAACTGTGGGGAACTTCGCATGTTATTTTCTAATGGAAAGCAAGAAGTAAGTCACAGTTATTTCCACAGAATGAATGTTGAGTTTTGTTGTTGTTCTCTTTTGAATTGTTTTATTCCAAGTGTAGTCAATTAAGGAGTAAACTCATCTGGCGTCCAACCCTCCTGATATCCCAGTTCCACCTCTGGCTGGGTAAACAGCTGGGCTTTGAAGTCAGATCAACCAGGGTGGGTCGAGCTCTGTCACCTCCCAGCTGAGTAGCCCTGGGCGAGTTGCCCACTCTCTCTAAGCTTCTCATCTTAAAAACAGGGGTAACAATGGGACCCAACTCGTAAGATTGTTGTGAGGATTCAATGAGATCCTGCATTTAATTTTTTTTATATAGTGCCTGGCATATAGTACAAACTCAGGCAATATTAGCTAATGCTAATCTTTATTTTAATATTAATAGTTATGGTTGATAATATTATTATTGTATTTTGTCTAAGGCAATGTTTATGTATGTGCTATCTAGAAGGGAAAATATCTGCTCCCTTTGATGTTCTACTTTGCAATCATTTTGAAAATTAAGATCAGAGAGAAACTCTAGATTTCTCTGATTTCGCCACCGAGTAACTGGAGGTAATTAAGTGTTCCCTGCAAAGATTTTTAATTCTAGTATTCAGCACCAGAAAGAAAAGCAAACCCTATTTACTTCCCGGATACAGACGCAAACAGAAATAAAACACAGCTGCTGTTACTGCTCCATGGGTACCATCTCTACTTGGTACCAAAAGATAATAATCTTGCAGTATAATTTTATAAGGAGGTAACAAAATCAATTATATTATCTCAAGTGTAAACACTGAAGTCTGTTGCTGGTTAAGATAGGCTGGAACTGTGGCAGCTGCTCACCCACGAATATAGATTATTTTAGATGGAAGAAAACATGGGCTAATTAATCAAGATTTGGCTAGGAGTATAGACAGCCTTACAGCTTGATATTTAAGAATGATACCAGCAATACAAGAGTTGGATTGTAACACAAAGTAACCGTGGACACAAGTGAAGGCAGTGATGGACAAATAATTTGGTTCGTTTTTCATTATTAAATGGCAAAGTCTTCACAAAAAGCACGAATAAGTCTGTAAACCCTTTGGGTTCGGTGAAATTCCACATGATCTTATAAAATATTTTGAACATTAAAATAAAAGGCTAAGAAGAAATTTAGGAGGCAGTAGGGATATGTTGTTTCCATAATTGTAATGACTGTGGGTGGGTCTTTTCCAAGATACAGTGATGAAAGTAGAGAACATATTTTGTTGTTATAGAATTTAAGCTTCATATAAAAGATTAATTTGCAGACATTCAAGTCCATAACATAAAATCAATAATTATGAACCTCTGTAACCAAGTTCATGAGATTTCACAGCCAGACAAATCTGCTTTATAAATTCAACATTGACACAAGTTGGCTGACCTTGGACAAGTTACTTATTAAATCTTTCAGAATAATCATAAATATCAGGTAGGATCATTGAGTATTAAAAATTGTGCTAAAATTGTGCTTAGCACAGAGTAAACACTTGAGGATAAATAAGAGGATTCCTTTGTTTCTTTCTCATTCTCTTTAAGTTTTTCACATGTTTATGTTTCCTTCCTCTCTATCTGAAATAAGATGTTTATTTTAGCTTGATCCAGTGACTCTGTAGTATTTATTCCAGTTATTTACCATGTGTAGATTATTCTGGTTTCTGTATGTATTAATTTTAACATTCATTTTTAACAGTAACACTCTGTCTGAAGGGAAAGTCATTTGGAGTAACCCTTGTTTTCCTTTACTATGTATGCTAAGAACATTGGCAGAGTTAATCATAAGACCGGTTAATCAATAGAAAATACCTAAAGGCCTTACAAATTCACAAGCAGCAATGACATGGTGTAATTTCTTACTTATTTTTCCTTGTCTCATTTCCTCTGAAAGTTTTTTATTACTTGTATTTTAAATAAAGCAAGACCTGGCTCATGCTCAGCATCTAATACGTGTTTGTTGAATGGAGAGGGAAGGAAAAAAATACTTTAATTGTGACTAGAGGCAGCAGCTCCTTAGTGGAGGCCTAACATACATTAATTTCTTGGGATAGAAGAAGGATTGTGTTAATTACATTGTAAGGGGAAGCTGAACAGTTTATAGCATCTTTTTTTTTTTTTTTTTAAATAAGTTTTTATTGATTTCAGAGAGAGGAAGGGAGAGAGAGAGAGATAGAAACATCAATGATGAGAGAGGCATTGATCAGCTGCCTCCTGCACGCCCCTCACTGGGGATCAACCCCACAGCCTGGGTATGTGCCCCAACTGGGAATCAAACCTCGATTTCCTGGATCATAGGTCAATGCTCAACTGCTGAGCCATGCTGGCCGGATCATTTATAGTATCTTTTATCTATAGTTAGGGTTTTAGTGTTAGAGTCACCCTATAGATGAAATGGCTCAACCTCCTTAATTTATAAAAGAAACTGAGGCCCTGAGAGTTTAAATGACTTCATCCTGTGTTGCTGAGCTGCAAGAGAAATTTATTTCCTATTCTTTCCATTTGAGTTAGTTCCTTGCTGGAACATTTGTTTTATTAAAATTTCCATCTATTCCAGGGGCACTTATACATCTACAAAAAATATACAGGAAGATAAAGACCAAGGTTGAGAACATCAGCTCTTGGGTCAGAGAGAACTGGTTTCGGATCCCTTCTCCTATGTGACCTGGGCCAGATTGTCCAAAGTTTTCCTCACGTTAACCTAATCCCTCCATGCCTCGGTTTCCTTATCTCAAAGGAGGGAGGACAAACTCTTGTCATCTTCAAAGATGATCAATGTAATAATGTATATAAAGGATTATCACTAAGCCAGGTGAAGCTAAGCAACTGTTTGTTATTACAATGTAAATTAGAAGTGGGAGAGAAAGTTGAAGGGAAGAGATATAGGCAAGGATAGTCCTGTATTTTGCTAGTAGTAGGCCACAAATTTGGCTCCAGGCTTCCTCTCAGCCAACACAGAAAAAGAAACATGATTGATCACATAGCTCACAGAGAACTTAGTTATGTTAATTATATATATCTGGCCAAACCAGAACCACTCTCTTCTACTTCCATCTTTGAATTTTCAGCCAAGATCTCCATCTAAGAGACATAGCAGTATCGGCTTTATAGACTTGTTGAGTTACAATAAATGCTGCTCAAGTGTGCCAGTGGCTCTCTCTTAGCATTTCCATAGAGCCCCCTGGCTTTTTGATAGGAGAGAACCTGGCTGTCTTCCACTCAGCACATGCCATTCTTAAGAAGGCCAAGTCGTTGGAGGAGGCCAGGGATGAATTTGGGTTATGTAGCTTATTTCCCTCACCCACGTCAGACGTTCCTTAATCACAGGGACCAACCTTATTATCTGTGCATATTAACTCATTGCCTCTCACAGAGAGTGAATGATGGGTGCTCAGTAAATGTTTGTGATTTGCAGTAATAAATGAACACATATGGAGGAGTTACTGGTACGAGAGCCCTCCTGCTTTAGGTCCAGGTTGTAACAGAGAGGTTATTTCAGGCAAGACAGATTTTTCATCCAACTCTGATGACAGCACTCAAGGCTTAAATCTCAGTATTCTAAGTGAAAAATGAAATCTGTATGAACTCCTCTTCCCTGGGTACTGATGTGCAACGACTTGTGTTATTAAATGTCGGGATGAAATAGAACCCGTTTTCTTAGAAAAAGGAGAGAAGTATAATTCTAGCACCGCTTGTATCTTTCAGAATAGGTATACTAATCAATTACCTTTCAAGACATGTCCATCATTATAACTCATGTAAAGCAATGGCCAAAGCTACCTCAAAAAGATGGACTACACCTTGCTTGCAATGTCACCTACAGAGGAAATGTAGGAAGGTTATGCTATCATAAAAGAATTTTTAAATCTACATATTGAAATCATTGTAAAGGGACCTAAATTTCCTTTAGAAAATATTTCAAGTTGCTTATTTTATATATTCCCTTTTCCCATGTATTTGGTTAATCAGTTCCTTTTCTTTGAATAATCATTCCCAAACTAATCTCCCTTGAGCCTGAACTCACTTATCCAAGTTAATAAAATCGGATGAGAGATATGTTAACATTTATTCAATATGGCGTTTCTTTTTCTTACTTGATTACAAGTGAGTGTCCCACTCCAATTTAATTTACAAGCTAGGAATCCTTTAAATGTTAAACAGGAAAATAAACTGAGAGGTTGTTTGAGATAACTGGGGCTCACAGAGAGCTAGTTGACTTATATTCATATGCCGTATCTAAGCCTGGATTCAAATTGTAGAATAGGGTTTTATTTGACCAAAATAATAAGTCCTTGTAACCCTTTTCTTCTCTCCCAGCCCCTTTGCTTTTACCCTGTCCGAAGCCAACATGTCACTGAAAACTGAGCCAACAGTAAATATATCTGCGCTGCAGAAAATCGCTGCTGACATGAGTAATTTGATAGAAAACCTGGACACTCGGGAGCTCCACTTCGAGGGAGAGGAGGTGGACTACGATGTGTCTCCCAGCGACCCCAAGATACAGGAAGGTAAAGACTGATGGCCTGAGCCGGGGAAGAGAGTTTATCAGGGTGGCTTGGCCGAGCACAGATTTGAAATCACCGGCAAATGATTGATCTTCCTTGCTGATGTCATACACTGGGCTGAGACTGTTCCATTAACTGTTTTCTTGTTGCACATTAATGATTCTTAAAAAAGATGCCTGCAAAAGGCGAGTTATGCTAATATCATGTGTTCTTGCCATGTCGTTGTGTTCTTGCAATAACTTTATTTATTTTTTTATTTTTTAGTGTATATCCCTTTCTCTGCTATTTATAAGACTCAAGGATTTAAGGAGCCTAATGTTCAGACATACCTCTCTGGCTGTCCAATAAAAGCCCAAGTTCTGGAAGTGGAGCGCTTTACGTCTACAACAAGGGTCAGCGCGTTTATGGACTCACCTTGTGTTACTCACTATATACGAATTAACACACTCACTTCCTCCTAGCTATGCCTCTGCTTTTAGCTTTTGTTTTTTTGTTTTTGTTTGTTTGTTTGTTTATCACTCCCAAGTCCTCATCACCTCTCAAGGTCTTGCTTTCTTCCCATTTGGTCTTTATTCTCATATGTCTCTTTCCCTATCCTGGAAAATACATTTTTTTAACAAGGCGTTTAAGGCAATTTAGAAGTTTAATAAATGGCAAAGTACCTAGTCTTCCACACTCCTGTTTCTGTTCACTGTGGATTCCATTCCCCATAGAATGCTAGATAGGAGCCAAGGAAAAGTTTAGCTTTCCTAATTCTTGTTAGGTAAGAATAGAGCGACGCTACCTGGCTCTTGAAAGAAAACAAGCCGGGACGCTGGGCCGGCTGGGGCCGTCACCCAGACGCACTGCTGAGAGTTCTGCGGGCGCGCTCCGCTTCTCTGATTTGTTCCTGGCACCTGTCCTTTAGGCCCCTTTGCGCTCTGGAATGGCCTTGGGAGTAAAATATCTCCGTGAACCAAAGCCGCGCCCTCTGAAACAGGTTGGACTAGGGGAAGCTGCGTTTGCTCTCTTACTGCCTGCGTTGTGCAGTTGTCCAGTCTGACGCGTGGGGAATGTTCCTGCAGGGGGGTGGCCTCTGTTCCTTCAGGATAAGCTCTGGCCACTGCAGAGTAAGGCCGCCAGAGTAAGACCACCATTCCCAGTGCCTCCTGCCTCGGGGGAAGGCTGTGGCTTCCCTTCCGGTTTGTCTTTCGAGGGTGGCAAGTGCTGCCTGGGTCCTGATGGCTTCGCCTAGTGCTCTGTCCCCATCTGTCTGCGCGTATTCTGGGTCCTAGTTTACACCTACCTTGGCGTGCAGCCTTTCCTCTAGGCTTTTCCTATGAGTTGGGTCCAATATCCCTGGTATACCACTGAGCAACATTATCCAGAAAGGTCTCTGAGATGACATTCGCCTTTTCACTTGCCTACTAGGTTTTACACCGAGAGGCAGTAACGTGAGGGTTAAATACAGACTCCAGAGCCAGACTGCATAGTTTAATTCCTGTCTTTGCTTTGTGATCTCTCACAAGTTACTTAACCTCTCTGTTTCTCAGTGTCCTCATCTGAGTAATGAGTATTAATAGTGCCCATCTTCTAGGTTTGTTATGAGGATTTAACAATAATATACGTAATATTACACTTATATTATAAAAGTATATTATTTATTGCATTATACAAACACACTGTATAATACTATGTATTATTATTATTCGGTATCTCCTAAAGTTACTTATGAAGATAAATATTCAGGCTTCCAAACCACAGACTTTTCTCTTTGCATACACTCTTCTGTTAGTTAAGTGAGTTTAGTTTAGTTCTGTTTTATTTTATTTTTTATTTTTTAAATCATTTTTAAATTTTTTTATTACAGTTGACATCCAATATTATATTAGTTTCTGGTGTATACCCAGTGATTAGACATTTTATATCTTACTAAGTGATCATCCTGATAAATCTCATACTGATCTTAGACCATAATAGTTATTAGAATATTATCAACTATATTCCCTATGCTGTACTATTCATCCCCATGACTATTCTGTAACTACCAATTTGTACTTCTTAATCCCTTCATCTTTTTATCTAAGTCTGTGTGAGAAAGTGAAGGATTATATTTATCTAATTTAGTGTTTCATTTACTAAGAAATATGAACTAAATTAATGCAGATTGTGAATGTGATTCCAGGTAAATAAAAATGACCCCTTTTCTGATGACTGAATACATTCTGTGTGCCAGCTCATTGCTAAGTACTTCTCTTTTCACTCTTGTGACAACCTGATGAGACAGATGTTTTCACTTGCCCTCGAAGGCTGGAGATCTTCCACCTGTCCCTCCAGCCCCTCCGCCCACCCTGCCCCACCCTGCTCTCTGCCTGTGTCCTCTGGTAGGACTCTTGCTGGAGAGCCCAGAAAAGAGATGGGGGTCACCTGAGGTGGCTGTGTCTCTTGACCAAAGGCACCCATCTCCTCGCCAAAGCAGCCCTCTTTCTATGGCTCTCTCCTTCCGTTCTAGCTCCTGTTCCTGCCATTTGTCTTGCCACCTGTCTTGCCACTTGTCCCTTCAGGACCAGGGATGTCTTCACAAGTCCCAGGTGGTCCAGAGTGCCCACATTCCTGCCCTCTCTCCCCCCACACACTATAGGAGCTTCCTTGAAGATCTCCTGTGCTTTATTTATAAATATTCCTCTGTTTCCTGTCACCCTATTATATAAAAACTCCTGTCCCCCAGGGCTGTTAGCTCTTCTGATTGAAATAATTCACTAGTCACCAAGATATATTTGCATTTCATAAGACATATTTTGAAAAATTTAAATGGAGATTCATTTTAGTTAAGTTGATGGGGAAAATATTTTGAGTGTAGGGAGATCTTTTGCTCCTTTCCCTCTAATGTACCTCTACCTTCCTGGTTCCTGGTGTTGATTCAGGGCAGGGAGATGCAGACAAGGAGGGACCTTTGAATGCATTTCAGAAGAAGGCATAATGTCATTTGTGAAGGGCAAAAAGTGGGCTAAGGTAGTGTTCCTGGAATCCATTTCCTCCAACTTCCTTTTCACCCCTTCCACCTGTCTGCTCACTGCTCATACTTTTGGACAACCCCCTGATTGTCTCCTTGACTTGGTTTCTTGTTTCGGGGTGTGTGTGTGTGTGTGTGTGTGTGTGTGTGTGTGTGTATTTGGAGCAATAGGATTATAGGATTTGTGGGAGTTTGTCTTTAGTGTGATTCTGAGTTTGTTATGTATCTTATAAGGTGAACATTTAAGAGAATATTATTCTGTAATCAGTTGTATTTGAAAACATTCTACTTAAGTACTTATGCAAGATAAGTAGGTTGGATTTAAGGGCACTTCCATGTTACTTACTAATTAGCTATTGTTCATTGGGAGATTTTGGAATTTTTGTTGTTATTTAAAATACCAATCATTTTTATTTATCCCTGTAGGTAGGAAGTATCAATCTTTACACTATTGAATTAACACATGGGGAATTTAAATGGCAAGTTAAAAGGAAATTCAAGCATTTTCAAGAATTTCACAGAGAGCTACTTAAGTACAAAGCCTTTATCCGAATTCCCATTCCCACCAGAAGGTAATTGTTTCAGAATTAATTATAACGTTATCCCAATGTCCAAGTTGAGTGGAAAGAATTTTATTCATATTATGGGTTAACTGTCCATTGTTGGTGGATATGTTCTATTAAATGGGCTTTTCTAACAATAAGCCATTTCATGAAAGATATTAGAGAGTCATGACACAAAGAATAATCTAATAAATGTTTGCATTGTGTTTGTGTGTATGTGATTCAGACACACATTTAGAAGACAGAATGTCAAAGAAGAGCCTCGAGAAATGCCAAGCTTACCACGTTCCTCTGAAAACACGATGAAAGAAGAACAGTTCCTTGGTAGGAGGGTAAGTCCTTTACTCTTCTGTTGCTCTGGACATAATTTAGTAGCATTGTAGAAAGGTGGCATCTGAGGGTTGAGGTGGGTCAGGCTGCAACTTTTCTCACCCACTGATCCATCACCCAGGCCAGTTTATCTGCTCTGGAGCTGGGCAGGCAGGCCCTTTCTCCCCAAGCCATTCTGACCCTGAGGAGGTTGCATTTTTCCAGAAGAAGAGTTTTCTTTGGTAGGAGTTATGCTGTGAAGAAGTTGTCTTCCCTGCAGGCTTGTTGTGAGTCAAGACTGAGTGCATCATTGAGAGTTTTGAGATCTACTCTTTTTTAAATCATACATTTTCATACACTTGCTTCAGAATTTGAGTAGTTTGTCCTAAATATATGTAGGGAATATATATATATGGGAAGAATAGGACAGAGTTACAGAAGTGTATCTCAGTAGGACAGAAACCTCAGGCCTGCTCCGCTTCAGTGATATGGTCCTGCATGGGATAGATGATTTTTTTTACTAGAAAATTATCAAATACATGCTAGTTCTCTTTTGCCATCTGATACTTTCGTGATCTAAAATGGATGTTTGATTTCTCCTTTGTAGTTGTCATCTTGTTTAAAATATTTTTAAGGACCTGGAATACATGTTTTCTAAGATACTTAGACAAATAAAATTCTACAGTTTTGGGTTACCATGTGTACATACACAAGTGCAGTTGAAAATGATAAACTTTGGCTTTTACAGTTAGTGTTTCAGCCTGTATTGCAGTCAGTATAATTGATAACCCCCTGCCCCCTCTCACTTTAACACATTTGAAATCAGTGTACAACTTACTAGAAGGTCTCTTTTTAAACCTCCCTCCTTGTTTTCCCCTGGAAATCTGTTAAAAATTGCAGTATATCTACCAGTAAATTCAGTGTTAGAATTGAGGAAATTCAAGTTTTTGATAAAAATCAACAAATGCTTTAAAACCACCTATATGGGCAAGTCCTGTGCTAGTAACTATGGAAAATTAAAAGAATATACAGCTGGGGTCTTGTCATCAGTTTATAAAAGACCTAAGTATGTGAAAAGTTAAATAGCAAGAAGAGAGTCAAATAATGGTTCAAGGGAACTATGGAAAACTTCTTAATGCTCTTCAGAATTCCTTGTGTAGTGGTGATATTAATACATAATTGAATAACTTGCAGAAGTTAAGATGGACAAATGATCACATTATTGTCACTAAGGGTTGAAGTTTTTCTATAAGTGTGATGATGTTATCTCTTACCTAAAATATTTGCGTTACAGAAACAACTGGAAGATTACTTGACAAAGTTACTAAAAATGCCCATGTATAGAAACTATCATGCAACAGTAAGTACTGTTTAGTGATTTAAATTTTGAATGTATAAAATTGTAAATTGTCAGCTAAATTTTGGATCATTTTATTAACACAAGTGCTTCTATCCACTTTAGGATTATTCCTTGCATTAAAATAAATGAAATGAATACAAAATTGATTTGACAGCAAGGATCTAGGTTATGGTAATACTATTTTAAAATATAAAATATAATTGAATATGTTTTTAACAATAGATTTAAATGAACTTGAAATGGTGCTACAGGCTAAATTATCTAGAAATCAACCTTCTTTGCTCCCCAGGCTTCTAGAATAATATCCCAAATAATTTCTAACTCTTAAGAGAAAACCTTAAGTAGGAAGTGATGAAAACAGTTGAGCAGAGTTGAATATCTTAAGATTATACGGAGCATACTGTGAATGCCATCTGATTGGCCTGTGATGCTTATAAAAAGCCTGTCTTTTTAAGTGAAAGTGAGAAGCATGGGAAAAGCTAGGGAGAGAAGAAACTCTTGGGAAATAAGAGATGCTGGGACTTGGAAGCAGCCTGGAAGCACACAGCATGGGGGAGCGGGAAGAGGGCTTTACAGGGAGTATTAGGAAACAATGAGCTCTGCTCCCTTAGAGACCCTTGAAGGTGCAGTGTTTTTAAGGGTTAGTCTTCAATGAAATTAGACTTGGACAGCTCTTTCTTCCCGCTTTTATATGGTCACTGGTTGGGTTTGTATTTAGACAACTTCCTTTTCCTCCAGGAGTATGAAGACTTCCTTTGTGTTAATTTTAATTAATAACTGGAAAATGCTTATCTTCCAAGGAATTTAAAGGAGGAGTCATTGGAAACAATAAATGTACTTTTTCCTGATTGAAGTTTAAAATCTAGAAATGGAACAAAGTGAATGATTTCCAAGAGAAGGGCCCTAAGCTGATAAGGCGATATTGCTAACTTCAAGTTAATCATCAGACCCCTGTAACTTAGACTCCTATCGCCAAGGTGGTGATTAGCTTGAAATCACCACCTTGGCGGTAAGGAATCTGAGGATAAACATCCCACAGATCAGCAACACTGAGCTCACCTCTCCCTTGCTTTTTAAAATGAATAAATTTAACTTGAGGGGAAGAGTGGGGACAATTAATAAAGATGCACCGTGGTGTTTCCATTCCAACAGGGAAAAGCTGTCCTGATTTAAACAGCAGTGTCTGCAAATTAATGAAAGTGTTGTCATTCTCATGACTGAGTTGTAGAGCTGGGAAAGTCTGGAGGCCTTGATAGAGCCTCTCAGTTTCCTCCACAGATTAGCTGTCCGCCCTTTTTTCCCCGAAGCGGTATTGTTTTACCTGGAAGGCAGCCTTCCCTGGGTAGCTGAGCCCATTCCCACCCTTCCTACAAGGACGTCGCCCAACCCCACTCTCCTGTCTTAACGGCCTCTGAGAATTTCCCACTTGGCCACTCTCTTGAATTTTGTTACCGCAGGAATAAAGGGAGCCTCCGAACATCCCCCTTCTCTTCTAATGTAAAGACGAGGTGGAGAAGCATGTGTATGAATGGGATTGCCAAGTCATTTCCAGGGTTTGTTGTCACCCGGGGGGTTTGTTTCTTGGCATGGGAACTCTTTGCTTCTCTGTTTCCCTAACATACTTTTTTCAGATTCCTCAGGGAAAAAAGGTATTGATTAGTACATTATTCAAGAGATCAATAAGCCCTATAAAATACTGTAAGGCTAAATTAATGATTAAATTCTTACTCCTGAGAATCACCTGCCCAAATGCAGAAGGGAAGTCTTATCATGGCAGACACGCTGAGAAGTTCGGACAACACAATCTTGGTTAAATTTCAAATTGTATTACTTAGGTTTGCTTCTAAATTGATCTTGTCACATTTACTTCCAACCTGGTAAATCTGTATTAGAATATTTATTGCCAGAGGCTTTTCTTTTTCTCTATAACAGGACTCATTCTTTCTCAAAATCTCTCTTTAGTCAAACTTTACTAAGCCGTTAGGATAATTTAAAATTTTGCATTAATGCACAACTTTAAAATTTCTGCATTGCTAATGTATACTTTTAAATTTAGATGAAATTCTTTACACTTAACAATTTTGATATTGTAAAGTTATGATTTCTGAATTATTTCAAAGAATATCTTTTTGTCAGCTATTTGATGATAAGAGCTACGTGAATAAGAAAATATCCAGGTATTAGATAAGTGGTTTCCTTGATATTTGCTTTTCATTTCCTGTTCTCCCATTCAACTGCTCTGTGACTTTGCGTAAATTAGTCACACGTCTGTAGTTGTTTCTTCCTATGTAAACTGGGAATGACATTTTCTCTCTGCTCCCTAGAGATAAAATGAGAGCTGTGGATTAAGATCTTAAAACATTTTGGATTCTGTGGCTCAAAGTCTGCAGTGTCACTTCTAATATGTGTTCCTATGTTTTCCAAGTTAGTGAGCATTTTCACAAATCAGATTAAAAATGCATGGTACTGAATTACCATGTTTCATACAAGAAATGAAATGTAAAGACCTTGACTTTTAAAATAATTTAAGGTTAATATTAGATATTTCCAATCACATATAAAAAGTTTAAAGGAAAACTGTTGTTTTTCATTTTGTTAATTCCATTTACAAGCCCAGATCAAATACTATTTCCTCTGCGATATCACATCAGCTAGGAAGCTATCACTGTCTCTCTAACTCTAGAAAAGACTTTCACATGTAACTGTTATGGTTCTTCCCACAGAACTTTGTGGATGTGGAATTTTCCCATGTCTGGTCTCCTCTCTGCTTCCTGATGCCAGGAGCATGTATTTCTTGTCTTTGATTTTTCTAGAAAGGCTGTTATTGACATGGTCCAAGACCATTGGCAGATCTAGGCTTACTGTGTCCCCTTGTGTAAATTGGGAGCAATATTGTTAAACTCTAGTTGTTGCAAGGAGTATACAAAGTAAAACTTCTGCATAGGCTAAGAATTACATAATATTCATTGGTTTTCCCTTCTGTGCCTCTGCATTTTCACCTAGTGCTCGTCTAGTTAGGATAAAGTTGCTCAATTTGAGTAAAATAAATGTTGAATGACTTTTTGTGTTGGCAGCTTAGTTGTGAGGATACTGACTGGTCTGAGCTGATTCTGAATACCCCTTGCTAATTTTGTGATCTTGGACAATTTATTTATCTTCTCTAAACTAGAGGTTGGTAAATGGTGGCCCATGGACCAAATCTTTGTTGTGTTTTGTATGATTTGTGAGATAAGAGTAGTTTTTACATTTTTAAATATTGAAAAAAAAAGAATATTATTTTATGACATAAAATTATATTAAATTCATATTTTAGTATGCATAAAGTTTCAATGGAATATAGCCATACGTATTGATTTATGTATTGTCTATGGCTGGTTTCATGCTACAGTAGGTTAACTGTATAGTTCACAAAACCTAAAATATTAATTGTCTGGCTCTTCGCAGAGAAAGTTTGCCTATTCCTGTTCTAAACCTCAGCTTCATCTTCTGTACAGCAGGACAAATAACACCTGTTTCAGAGAAGTTTGAGATAATGGATGAAAAATGCTTAGTTCAGGGACAATGATATTAAGCACTCAGTAAATGTTAACCATTGATATTATTATAATATTTATAGTTTTTAATCTTTTTATTTAGTGATGCTGGATCAAAAATTCTCTCCTTTTATACTCACTAAGAATATAATTATGTTTATCTTGTAATTACATGTAATTATTTCATTTAATTTTTATTATTTAGTTTTAATTATTTAATTTGAATTTTATTACATTTATGTTAGAATATTTTATTATTCCTGATGTCCAAAGACCTCTCCAACCTTCCCTCAACCTACTTTGCCATTTAATTTTCTGTTACTCTCCTTTATCTGACTATCTCTTGCCCAGCTGTATATCCAACGATTTTTTTACACTTTCCTCTTCTGTGTCTCCCTTCATCTCCCATTTCCACATGCTAAGTCTAGTCCATCTTCCAATTCTGGCACCAACATCACTCCCTTCACACAATTTTGTACTATTTGTCCGTACGCTATGCCATACAATCCCTCTTCCCCAACAACAAAAACAAACACAAGAATTTGGGAGGAAATTTTTTCTCCACGACCTTCTTTGGCATTTTAGTTCTACATATTAGAGCACATATCACTTTCTTTGTTGTATTTTAATTATGTAGATACTTCTAATGTTTACTCTTTCAGGGCAATACCATTGCTATTGATCTGTACGGCATCCCAGATGTGTCTTCACATTGCAGTACCTAATGTGTTTTTTTGAATGCATTAATTTTTCTTTTTTTCTGAGTTTTTAAAGTATGAATTTTGGCTTCTTTTCAGACAGAATTTCTTGATATAAGCCAGCTGTCTTTCATCCATGATTTGGGACCAAAGGGCATGTAAGTTCCAGTCTTGGATCTTTAAAGAGAAGTATGAATGTTGATGACATTAATATTTGATTTATCTGCATGCCATGATGATGGACCTCACCTGGCTTTACTGCTAGCTTCTTTTCTCCCCAACAAGAGTCAGAGCAACTGAGGGGATCTATTTATGCAAAACGGAGTATCTTGCTACATCAAACAAAGGTAGCAAGTGCTCCACCCTCTTTCTTATGTGCTTATAGCACCGATTTCCTCTAACCCCACAGTTGGAATGTTTAATACAGGTAGCAAATATGATGTGTGGGAGAATGCATTAAAAATCAAACATACTATATTTTATATTTGAAAGTTGCTAAGATAGGAGATCTTAAAAGTTCTCATCAAACGAAAAAAATTGTAACTGTGTAACAATGGGTGTTAGCTAGACTTATCGTGGTGATCAGTCACTTCACATTATATATAAATATCGAATTACTGTGTTGTATACCTAAAACTATAATGTTACATATCAATTATATTTCAATTGAAAAGAATCAAATATACAAGATCCCGTTTCTAATCACTTATAAAAGTTAGCTGCTTATCACTCGTTTTCATGACTAAAAATAATACTGTGTAAAATGTATGTTATACAACAAAATTGAGATTTACTTAATGATTATTTTCCTTCACAATATGAGAGCTTGATACGATAAAGAGCTTAACTTTTTTTCCGTAAAGATCATTGTTAGTACTTATTGTGAAATATTTCTTTATTTAGCCATTATGATTGTTCTTTCTTTTCACATCTTTCAAAATCAAGATCTTTCTCTTTCCAAAGCTAGAAGCTTTGTTCTGCTTCCTTCAGCATGGCTTGGTTCTGGAACTGTAGGTGAAGGGATACAGAAATGCTTGGAATCCATGGGAAAATACCTCCTAGGGTCCGAACAGCAGCTGAGCCCTCCCTATGCAGGCACTGGGCAAATGTGAGGACTTTTCAGGATGCTACAATGACTGGAGGGAATGCTCAGCATTTAGAGCCAGAAGCTGGGGTGCTTAAGGTCCTGCAGTGTGCGTAACACAATTATGCTGCCCCCAAAGCCGACAAGGCTACATCGACCAGAGTGCTCTAAAGATTAGCTGCTAGAGAACACCCATCCTGGCAAATATGGTACGGAGCTATTTGAGGGCGAAGAAGGAAAGAGGGGGGAAAAAGTCATGTGAGAATTAAACCGTTTATTTAGTCCCAAGTTGTGAGGCTGTGTCAGCTAAGAGTGAGTTGGAAATTTAAAGATGATGGGTTAACTTGATGTCTCTTTCAGAGAAGGAATGATAATGAAAAGGTCTGGAGGACACAGGATACCTGGCTTGAACTGCTGTGGTCAGGGAAGAGCCTGCTACCGGTGGTCAAGAAGGTAGGACTTAGGAGTTTTGTGTATTTGTTTTAATAAACTGGATATTTGGAGAGTTTTTACATGCTAGTTTTAAATTAAATTATAAGTTATAAATCAGTTATAAATCCTTTGAAAGTCATAACAGAGCAAATTTTAAAATATTTTAAGTTCCAAGTTTCATTATCTATTTTCTAATATCAAACTATACTATAAGGCCATAGTAATCAAACTATACTACAAGGCCATAGTAATCATAACAGTATGGTATGGTGTAAAGATAGTCTGTTCAGTAAATGGTGCTAGGAAAATTGGACAGATACGTGCAAAAAAATGAAACTAATCCATCTTTTTAAACCATACACAAGAATAAACTCAAAATGGTTTAAAGACTTAAATGTAAAACTTGAAACCATAAAAATCCTAGAAGAAAATATAAGCAGTAAAATCTCGAACATTTCTTGAAGCAATATTTTTTTTCTGATATGTCTCCTTGGGCAAGGGAAACAAACAAACAAAATAAACAAATGGGACTACATCAAACTAAAAAGTGTTTGCACAGTAAAGGAAACCATCAACAAAATGAAAAGAATACCCACTGAATGGGAGAACATATTCACCAATAATACATCTGATATGGAGTTAATATCCAAAATTTATAAAGAACTTATAAAAATGAACACTAAAAACCAAACAATCCAATTAAAAAAATGGGCAAAGAACCTGAATAAACACTGCTCCAAAGAGGACATACACATGGTCAATAGACATATGAAAAGATGCTCAATGTCACTAATCATCAGAGAAATGCAAATTAAGACCACAATGAGATATCACCTCATACCTGTCAGAATGGCTACCATCAATAAATTAACATAAATTAACAAACAACAAGTGTTGGCAAGCATGCAGAGAAAAGAGAACCCTCAGGCACTGTTGGTGGGAATGCAGATTGGTGCAGGCACTGTGGAAAACAATATGGAGTAACCTCAAAAAATTAGAAATGGAACTGCCATTTACCCAGAGGTTCCACTTCTGGAAATATATCCTAAGAAACCCAACACACTAATTCAAAAGAACATAGCACCGCATTGTAGCATATTTACAATAGCCAAGATCTGGAAACAGCCCGAGTGCCTACCACTAGATGAGTAGTTAAAAAAGCTGTGGTACATTTATACAATGGAATACTACTCATAAATAGAAGGAAATCTTACCTTTTTTGACAACATGGATGGATCTGGAGAAGTATTATGCTAAGTGAGATAAGTCAGTCAGAGAAAGACAAATGCCATATGATTTTACATATATGTGGAATCTAATGAACAAAATAGAAACTAAATAGAAACAGGTTCATTGATACAGAAAGCAGACTGATGGCTGTTAGAGGGGAGAGGGGTTAAAGGACTGGATGAAAAAGGTGAAGGAATTAAGCAAAACCCCCCCAAAAAACTCATAGACACAGACAATAGTATGGTGAGTACCAGAGGGAAGTGGGGGGGGGGAGGTAGAAGAGGGTAAGTGGGGGATAAATAGTGATTGAAGGAGATTTGATTGTGGGTGGTGAACACACAATACAGTATACAGATGATGTATTATAGATTTGTACATCTGAAACCCATATAGTTTTATTAACCAATGTTACCCCAATAAATTCTTTTTTTTTTTTTTTAAAAAAAAGGACAATAACAAGTGTTGACAAAGATGTGGAAAAATCATAACCCTCAGACATTGCCGGTGGAAATGTAAAATGGTTCAGCCACTTTGGGAATTAGTGTGACAGGTCCTCAAAATATTAATTAGAGTAACCATATGCCACAGCATTTCCACTCCTGTGTATTCACCCAACACAACTGAAAAATATGTCTGTATCAAAACTTATACATGACTGTACATAGCAGTATTATTCAGAACAGTCGAACAGTGAAAACAGCCCAAATGTCTATCAACGGATGATTGGTTAAATAAAAGGTGGTATTATAATACAGTAGATTATTATTCAGCTATAAAAGGAATGAAGACTACTAATGGGTTTGGGGTTTCTTTCTGGGTTGATGAAAATATCTGGAATTAGATGGCCATGATGGTTGCAAAATTTGGAAATACATTAAAAACTACTGAATTGTAGACTTTTAAATGGTAAGTTATTTGATATGTGAATTATATCTGAATAACATTAAAAAAATTTTTTTAAAAATATATCTTTGTTGATTTCAGAGAGAGGAAAAGAGAGGGAGAGAGAGAGATAGAAACATCAATGATGAGAGAGTCATTGATCGAGCCCTGACCAGGAATCGAACCCCGATTGCTTGGATCCCAGGTCGACGGCTCAACTGCTGAGCCACGCCCGGCCAGGCAGCATTTTTAAATTTTTAATAAAAAAGTACTGATGCATGCTATGTCATGAATGAACCTTGAAAATGTTGCAGCAATAATTTACTGGGATTCTGAAAAATATATAAGAAATACATGTTACTTTAACCTTGAAAAAGATATGAACTCGTGTAAATATGAAGTTCAACTGTGTTTGTATTAAAAATATAGAAATTTAAAACTAGAATCTACCTTTAAACATTAAGATAAAGTACCACACACACAAAAAAAAATGTTAAGTTGGGCTCTAATTATTTGGGTTTTGAAAGGATCGAAGAAATTAAAAGGAAAAGATCAAAAGCTCAGATTAGAGAATATTTAAAATTTCTGTGTTACCAAAAAAACACACACCTCAGTTTTACTAAAAATAAAGAAGGAAATAACATACTATAAAATATTTTCTTTCAAATAATTGTCTAGAACTTATATAAAGCTTTTTTAGATGGAATAATCAGGGAAGACGTACCTCTGGAAGAACATCTACCCGGAGGGTTGACCTACAAAAAGGATCATCCACGGGAAGATGTGGGAGAAATCATTTCTAGGCAGAGGAATAGTGAATGTAGAAGCCCAAAGCTGAACAAGGTTGGGCTTGTTCAACCAGCCCCAGGTGGTAGGAAAGAAGAGTGGGAGATAAAGCGGCGAAGGTGATGGCTGGCTCAAGTCCCCCCATCTGCATTTTAATGCCACAGCAAGTAGTGGCACAGGCAGGAGGCAACTTGTAGAATAGACCGTAATCTCACCTGATTCAGACAAGAATATTCATAAAAGTTCAGATTTATTGGTGCCAGGAACTGTGCTAAAATGTGCGTGAATCATCTCAGTTAATCTGCACAGGCATGCAGGAGCTGGGCATGGCTGTTACCCTCATTCTGTAGATTTAGACTCGAGGCTTAACCAGGTTCACACGATCAGGCAGGTGGCAGAGCTGGCACTGGAGCTCAGGGAGGCTGACTCGAAGGCAGGTGCGGCTCAATCCCTGGGCAGCTGGTGCTGACTCCCAAAAGGCTGGTTGATGGATTCCTTGCTTGATGCATATCCTCTCGTTAAAGAAAAAAAAATCTATTGACAAAAGAGAAAAAGGGAATAAATCAGAAGGGTTTAATGAATGGTATAATTAAGAAGAGCTCTGAATAAAGGCCAGGAGCCAGTTTACCCTGATAGCTAATGCCCGTTAAGAAGAACAACTCATCGTTGTCAAAACAGAAACCATTTTCTTTTGTGTTCAGCTTTCAAAACCCAGCTGTCACTGCTCAATAATTCCATACTTCTAGGAGGGGCGAGGGAGGAACCAGTGATGTAGATACCACATGAATGGCACCCCGTAGAGTTGGGCTTATTCGTTCAGAACCTGTGTGCAAATTAGAGAAAAGTGCAGGGTGATGTAGCCTACACCCGGGCCCCCCTTCAGCAGGCATCCCTGTGCAGGGCACGGCTGCACAGTGGTGGCCTATCCCCGAGGACATGTTTTGCAGCCCTTGGCCCTGGTGGTTAAGTCACGAGCCTGGGCTCTCAGGAGCATTTCTGAGATTTGTTCTGTAATGGGAGCTGGTTCACCTCTTTGGGAGGATGCCACTAGTGTGTTCTCTTAGTTAGAATTAAGGACTCCCTCCTCGCACCCATCACGGTTTCCTTTTCTCTTTTAGTACCTATCCCGTTCAGCCAAGAATTGTCATTGTTCATGCCCGCTAGCCTAGTAAGATCCTTTGAGAACATGTATGATTTATCTTTGTGCTGTTTCTGCCTCTGTCCTTACTCCTCGATTGTCACTGTACTTTTCCATTATGAAACTCTTAAACATATATTGAATTGAATGGACATATACTTTTGAGAGATCATGTCCCATTCAACATCATTCAATAATGGTCCCTAAAATCACAAATAATTTGAAATGAACAAGAAAATGTGCAGAGTATTGGATGCTCACTGAATCTTTTTTTAAAGGGGAATTATACTTACTGAGAAGCATATCTAACTCTTCTATGATGGTTTATTTTAGCAAACACCAACCCATTCTGTTCTTCCAACAGCTGGGGCTCTGATGGTCCCTCCTGCGAGCACTACCTGCTGTTAGCAGGGGTGTTCTTCCAGGCTTTGCCCTTAATGTTTGAAAAGCTAATGAATTATTTTGAATTGCTTGGTGCCAGTACTTCTTAGAAAAACACAATATAAAGGTTTTGAATTTTGTTTGTTTCATAGTGGTTTTTAAAAACTAAATCCCCCATGTAAAAAATAAAATTGTCTACTGTCTGCTAGTGTGTTTACTTCACACTTGTCATATAATTTGTTCTTTTTGTTTCAGTAATTCAGTGCAACTTTAAAAATACATATTATCTTCTCCCAGGTGGCTGATAGTGAAAGATTCCTTTTTGCTGTATATGAAACCAGACAGTGGAGCTATTGCCTTCGTCCTGCTAGTGGATAAAGAATTCAGAATTAAGGTGGGGAAGAAGGAGACAGAGACGAAATATGGACTCCGAATTGATAACCTTTCAAGGTAGAAATTTAACTGTTTTTTAAAAGAGTAAATTTTTTTGGTAAAAAAAATATTTTTACAAAATCTCTTAAAAACAAAGTGTTTCTCCCAACTTTAAATAAAGGAAGTAAAAGAATTTAAATGTCTGAAAATTTTCAGTTGGAACTTATCCTCAATCGAAAGTAATGAAACTACTTTTTNAAAGTGTTTCTCCCAACTTTAAATAAAGGAAGTAAAAGAATTTAAATGTCTGAAAATTTTCATTTGGAACTTATCCTCAATCGAAAGTAATGAAACTACCTTTTCCTTGTAATTAATTTTTAAGAATAGAAGATCCTATGTGCAACAGAATAAACCATCCTGTGTGCTGATATGTATCCGTTTTAAGAAAACTGAGTACTCAATAATACCATTGTGCCAAAAAGACAAGTTAAGGAATGATAGTTCTCATTTTTTAAAAATAGAATTTTACTTTATGGATTGATATCCTTTAACAAAACACTTAAAAGTGATTTGATATAGAAAAATCCTGTTTACACACAGATTTTAACACACAGATACCTTGAAAGGATACTCAAGTGTACATTTACTATAGATTTTATTACTGAGAATGTGTGTGCTGATACATATGTTATCTTCTGAAGGATTGTAGTTATATATGTGTCTTTCTATATATATACATTTGTTTCTATAAAGTTCAGCCTCATGTACATGAATGTGTATATATTTCTGTCTTTACTCACATTGACTGGCCTGGAGATAGAGATAGACCCTTACTAACATACATTTGCGTGTGTGCTTGTGTGTGCAAAAGATTTGGAACTTGCTAATCTCCTCTGACAACGGAAGGCTCAGGACTGGTTATTGGAAATGCAAAGGTGCTGCCATCAACCCTTCTTCCCAGTACTGCGTTTCTGTTTGGTGGAGGGCCGCAGACATCAGGCCACCATTCTCACTGGTCCCTGTAACAGAGCTCTGAATCAGTCTTTGGGATCCGGGGTCTGGAATATGCCACTTCGGTTGGCTTTGGTGAATGCGGAGTAGGGAAGAAATTACTCTCCTAAAGTACAACCAGGATGTTTCCAAAGCCAAGGAAATGGACATCAGGCAGTGCAAAGGGAAATGACCTCTATAGGAGCCAATGACTAAGTAACACAGAGACACAGATCTTCACCTATACCCCCTTCAATATCCTCATAGAGCCTAGAGTAAGGACCCCTACACATGGTTGCATGAGTGAATAAGTAACCTGAAAATTTATTTTTGCTCCACTGACTGTATTTTAAAATCTTCCCCCAAATTTTTAGAAGCCTGATTTTTTTGATATGAGTAAGATGCTGCTTACTTAAAATTTTCAACTTATGTCTGCAGTACCAAAACAAACAGGGCATGGTTCATCCTTAAGTTTGTTTAAAGAGACAAAACACAGAGTGACTATTCTTTTCCACATTTTGCTTTTTTTTGAAGGACACTTATTTTAAAATGCAACAGCTATAGACATGCTCGGTGGTGGGCAGGCGCTATGGAAGAATTCATCCAGAAATATGGCACCAACTTTCTCAAAGATCATCGATTTGGGTCGTATGCTGCTCTCCAAGAGAACGTTTTAGCTAAATGGTAAGATCTTTTTGCTCTAAGACTATCTGGGTAGTCATAGCATCTAATTCTCCTAGAATCAGTTTTCAAAGCTTCGAAAAGATATAATGCATTATACCTAACAAAAGCCATTTTTAAAAAAAATTATCTTTATTGTTGAAAATATTACAGATG